AAACTATGTTTAAGTAATAGATAAATTGAAATATGTATTTAAAAAGGCTGTTTTTTATTCATAGTAAAATGATAGGATATAAGTGGTTAAACTGTTGAAGGTAGTACGTATCTTGTTGGGAATTATCATGTTACATAATTCTTTCTATGTGAAATCATTTAGATCAATGAAATTAATTCTTCCTTTATCATATGTTATAATTATTAAGTTTATAAAAAAAGAAAATACTTTATCGTAACATAGTGTTTTCTTAATGAATTAAATATTTATATTTTAAAAGAAACCAGAGGTGAATTTAGTTTTTTACAAGCATGCAATTAAAAGAAAATGAATAAATTTATATTTTTTTTATTTTGTTAAATTATTTAGTTTTTTTAAATAAAAGAGAGAGTTTGCACAAAGAGTAAAGTTATATAAATGATATAATTAATTACCAATTAACTATATAAAAGAAACAGTTTGTTTAAAAGATTATTTAAAAGCTAGGTAAACTTTATTGGAACAAAGAAAAAAAGAAATTAATTTAAAAAATTAGAAAATGGAAAATGCAAGTATATTGAACTTGTGTTTTGATTACGTATTCGATTAAGCGAAATTGAGGAGGAGATAATATTTAACTAATAGATAAAGTAAAATATATGTATTTTACACAACTATTCTTTATCGATAGCAAAAGAAGTTTTATATATTAGTGTCAACCACGGGTCGAGTACAATTCTGTGATTTCACAGTATTTACATTTTTAACAACAAAAACATACCAAAATATCTAAAGTAACATGTTCTATTTGAAACCAAAATCATATAACTGAATCTAAGACTCATTATTCTACTGGAGATTTATAGATTATAGGTTGCTTGTAGAATCATAGAAGTGTCTACTGTTAGATTGTCTATTATCCCAAAACAAAACGAACGTGAGTTGAGGTTTTATCCAAAGCTAAGGACATCAGCATCTTCAACGTGTTTATCAGTCTTCATTTTCTTCTTGGAACAAGTTTCGGTTTTTTGGTCTCGAGTTTGAAAGAGAGCCCTCTTTGCATTTGGTGCAAGCACTCCGTCGGCGTTTGTAGAATCTTGATTATCTGTCATGCACATCTTCTCTTTACTTTTCGTAGATGTTTTGTTTGAATTATCATCAGTTGTTACAAGAGAAGAATCCAATTCTATGATTGTACTTGAAGAATCAATGTCAGTTGTTGTTAAAGAGTTGAATATGAAGATAATTTCATAATGGTATTCAGGTGGATTTTGGCTTCTTGGTGTTACTTTTAGGCAAAAAAGCTGTTCTTCTTCGTTGTTAGTTCTTACGAGATCTTTTAGTTGTGTATCCACGTCCTGAAATATTAAAATTATACTCATTTAATATGATGAAGTAAATGCAAATAATTATTAAAAATTTAGTAGTATTTGGAGTTAACCTTTTCAAAATGGTTCATAATTTGGACGGCATTTGCTTCCAATAAAGTTTCTGCGGTTTCTCCTATTATGGTTGCATCCAAACCTCCAGAGTTGTCTTCAATATGTATGAAAGCAGTTACCCTATATAGAGAAGTTAATTAAATTACATAGTAAGTTTTGTTAAATGAAGTGTTATTTTTAATAAATAGTTAAATATAGGTTTAGAGTACATGTTACTTTGGTATTGCTTTTGCATGTTCAAATTTGCAGAAATGACACTTATGAATTTGTCCCAAGTCTGCACTTGATGTTTTCTTACAATTGTTACATGCAATATACCAAAACTTTTGGTTCATTGAAGTAATTTTCCATTGCGCTTTGACCCAATAAAATTTTTTTCTGCATACGAAATGAGAAATATATAGTAATAAGAAAGAGCGTAAATTTTTTTAGTATTGGTCAAAAAACATTAATAATATATATGTGCAATATATATATATATATATATATA